TTCTTTTTTTTTTTTTTTATTTTCAAGTCATACTTCACTTCACTTACAGTATCATTCTTTTTTCTTTTTAGTTGTGATAAAAGAAAAAAAAAGCCTTGATCTGCAAAGTGTGTGTGTGTGTGTGTGTGTATGTGTGTATGTGTGTATGTATGCGCGTATGTTTATGTGCGTACGTTTGTATGTCAAGTAATAAATCATTAACAACTATGTTATAAGTTTGAATTAAAATATAGGAATTAAACAGTTGGCACTAGACTTATTTGCTTGTTTAAATGGAAGTGTTAAATTTAAAGTACGATAATAACGAATTCAATCACTGATTGGTTGATTTGATGAGTTACACCTTTTTCTTATAGTTTGACAACAATGAATTTTGTGCAAAGATTAGATTTTATTTTATCAAAAAAAAAATTACATGATTTATTATGTTTGAAACATATTGTGATAAAGTTGATAGATAAGGAATTACTTTGTAATAATATTATTTAAATAGTCTTTTTTTTTCCTTTTTTTTTTTATCAATTTTGATAAAGAAATAATGCATAGTATTAGATGCAAAAATAAAATTTTGACAAAGGAAATGTTTCGAGAGAAAAGAAAAAAAGAAGCCAAAGGAAAGTAGAAGAAAAAAAAGCGATGCAAAAGAAAATAAATTTAAAAAAAAAAAATGAAAAGCAAAAAATCATACAACTTTTTCGAGCTTTCTGAAATGTTCGTTTTTTCTTTTTTTTTTTTTCAGACCATTAGAATGATTTTAAATTATGTGAATTGAATTAATGAAAAAGCATGCATACTTTTTTTCTTATTTTTTGTTCGTTTTTCTTCCAAAGCTAATTTTAAATGTGAAATAATGTAAATAAACTTTAAAATAACGAAAAATTTAACGATGCATTCCATATTTTGACATTTAAACAATTTTAATATTACATAAATTATTCGATTGTTTCATTTCTTTGTCATAACTGAAAATATTGGATTAAATTGGAAAAAAAAAAAAAAGTGGTTTTTAATGTGGAAAATGTCAGACATCCAGAAAATGGGATCATTAAATATTACATAAAGTTAATACTTTTAATAAAATATAGCTCACATTTCGTATGCAATTTTTTTAATTGTCAATTCATCATTCTCTCCATATATGTCATAGATATGATTAATTTTTTTATTTCATTAAAATTTAACTACATACCTATTCAAATTCTTTTTTTTTTAAATAAAAAAATTTGAAATAATTTATTTCATGATGCTTCTTTGCATTTGCTCAAGCATGAAATTATTTCTTTGAATATTGTTAGGGAGCGAAAAAAAGGGGAAGAGAAAAAAAAAGGTTCGGAAATAAATTGCAAAGGGTGGAAAAAAATGATCGAAGAAAAATGAGTGATAATTCAAATTTATTTTATGGTTTTTTATCAAAAAAAAAAAAAAAAAAGAAAGATTTAAAAATTAATCGATAATAGGTTTTTACTTCAGAAGAATGATAAAATTCGCTTAAAACAAAAGAAATGAATCGGTTTTGTTTCCTTATTTTTGCCTGATAATGTTTATATAATTTGTAAAATTTGCATGATTTGCAGAAATTCAGCACATATAATTTATAATATTAATTATAAATTAATGAAAAATGCTTACTTACTGAATGCTAATGATTTAAAAATATAAGTGCAACTATGTAAACATTGTACATGCATTTTTAGTCTAATTATTTGTTAAAAATTAATTTGAATTTTTATGAAATAATATTGAAAGATATAAATAATATTTGTTTTATCAATATATTCTGAAATACTTTACATTTTATAGTTTGATAATTTTATTTACATGTCAAAAAAAAGGCATAAATAACAAATGATATGTACTATGATGATATTTATTTAATGTTTGATAATTGATTAACATATGAAATAATATTCAAAAAAGTATAAACAATGTCACCGTAATGACGGATGCATGTCATCGATAAATTTTTATTTATCGTTTTTTTTTTTTCCCTTCCTAAAAATTGCCAATAAATATGAAATTGAATTACAATAAGCTAAACAATATATAACATACAATAATAATCAGTAAGCATTTTTATGCATATCATTGATAGTGTAAGTCAAGCAAAAAATAAATTCATTTGTTGTTAGCTAAAATTTTTTGTTAATCTAAAATAGTAACTCTAATATTCCTTGCAATTTTATTATTTCCTATTAGTAAAATTTTCCATACCTAGAAAGTTTAGTTGATTTTTAATTTTTGATAATGGAAAGAAACAAAGTATGATCGGATGAGAGAAAATAATGTATATGTAGTAGTATGATTAATTGAATAAAATTGAACATTGCAAAATTTTACGGAAGAACAAAAAAGAAAAAAGAAAAAAATGGTTTCTTTTAGAATCTGATTGATTGATTTAACTAGAAAATTTCTCATCACTCATAAATTTCCTTTCAAAAAATATATAAATAGAAAAGAAAAAAGTTTTTTTTTCTGTTTGAAACAATTATTTTTAAGTCAAAGATCAAAAATGAAGCATTTAATTAATATCAATTACATTTTACGAAAATAAAAAAAAAAAAAGCGGATAATGTCAACAACTTTTCTACTGTAAATATGTTATCTTAT